GTGCATTCGGTGGCATTGGGGTTCAGGTTTCGGGCTTGGGATTTCATTGGAGTTGAAGTTTAGGGCTTAAGGCCAGGCTGTCTATATGTAGCCCCGGGCATACGAACCCCCTAAAGATCGTCCTATTTCGCATTAAACGACATATGTTAAGTGATGGGTTTTTGGGGCCTTCTGTTAAGTGATTGGTTTTTGGGGCCCAGAACGCCAAACACGTCACTCAGAGGGCCCTGGCTGTTATTACTATTATTATTATTATCATTATTAATATTATCATTATTATTATTACTATTATTATTATTGTTATTATTATTATCGATTATCTGTTGTTGTTATTGATAGAACAGGGACTCCCAAACAAAATAGTATTGGCAATTACTATAAGCCCAGACCTAAACCCTAAACCCTAAAACCCTAAACCCTAAACCCTAAACCCTAAACCCTAAAACCCTAAAGCCCTAAAACCCTAAAACCCAAAACCCCAAGCCCAGAACCAAAGGAAGACTCCCAGGCGACCTCTGTGAGGCTCCGAGGACGCTGCGCGCATCCTCGCGGTCGCGCTTTCGGAGATTTCATGGGGTTTAGGGTTTAGGGTATAGGGTTTAGGGTTTAGGGCTTAGGGGGGTTCTTCTGAAGGAACTTAAAGAGTGCCTTCAAGGGTTCTAGGGTTTAGGGTTCTAGGGTTTAGGGTTTAGGGTTTAGGGTTTACGGTTTAGGGTTTAGGGGGGCTCTCCTGAAGGGGCTTAAAGAGTGCCTTCAAGGGTTCTAGGGTGTAGGGTTCTAGGGTTTAGGGTTTAGGGTTTAGGGCTCTAAGGTTCTAGGGCTTAGGGTTTAGGGGTAGAGGGTACGGGTTCTAGAGAGGTGCTACTACAAGATACTATAAGAGTATATACCATAAGAGTTTAGGGTATGGGTTTACCAGCAATTACTATGACAACAAATACTATGGAAGGGTGGTGAAAGGGTTCAGGGTGTATAGAGGAGCTTCGACTGAGTACTGTCAAGTTGACTGTCAAGACAACATTTACCATGCAACCCTCTGGACCTAATAATTAGGTCCTTGGGTTTAGGATAGTAGCTTTGGGAATGAGTATTTGAGAGAGATATATGATCATTAGGCACTTGGACCCAGGGCACGGGACTATTTGGGGCTCTTCTGGCTTGATGTAACTGGAGTTCTTTCTGGCTCAATGAAACTGCTACAGCCTCCTTTTAAAAGTCCAAAAACACAAGGGTCGTTAGAGCGGATCAGAACTTACACCGCGCAGCATGATAGCCTTAGCATAGCAATGCCAAACAACACCAAAAGCACAAGTACATAAAACCCTAAACCCTAAACCCTAAACCCTAAACCCCAAACCCTAAACCCTAAACCCTAAACCATAAAACCCTAAACCGTAAACATAAATGGCAAGGACTAGGGCCTTCAATATTTCTGTAGGTACGGTTCCGGGTGCGGGGTTGCTAGACAGCAATCAGTTCGACCTTCACAGACTTCCCCTAGGCGAACCTCTGGGTTTATGCCATAGACTACGGACCTCCGAACCCCGTAAGGCTCAATCATAGTTCGATTGTTTCCATAAATCTGGCTTAGCTGGAAACTGCCCAACATGCTGCAGCCCTTGTCACAGATCACTACTCGACAGCAACAATCCAAGCCACAGAATCCCGAAGCCGAATTCCCCAGGCCGAAAGCCTCGTACAGAGTAGGTTCTGCTCGGGCTCCAAACCCCTTAATTTTACAAGCCTAAACCACCCAACCAACAAAAATGCAAAAGCTTTGCACCTGAACCCTAAACCCTAAACCCTACACCATAAAAACTAAACCCTAAACCCTAAAAACAAAACCCTAAACCCTAAACCGGCGCCTCGAGGTGCACCACAGAAGACTGCTCACAGAAGCCCCTTTCCCCTGGAGACGAGGTGCTCTGTTCGCTCCTTCTACTTGGAGGTTCAGGGGTAGTTGTAAGTAGGGTTTCGGGTTTAGGGTATAGGGTTTAGGGTAGTTAGAAGTCGGGTAATCCCCTAATATGGGTTAAGTTATAACTACAGTTACCCTGCTTATAACCCACTTATAACTACCCATGAAATTCCAAGTAGGGTTGCGGCACGGTTTAGGGTTCAGGGTTTAGGGTTGATAAGTAGGCTCCAAAACCTAACCCTACGTAGAATAAAGTCATAAGACACAAGCTGCGTCTGGGGGCTTCATGCAGGGCGTTATGCATCAGCCTTATACAAAGTTTCTGCTATCTTGATATTTGTAAATCATAAGTAAATAATTGAAGACAGAAATAAGTAAGAAAGTAAAAGTATAAACATATGAATAGATGCTCATCTTATTTCCATCTTGAGCTGCTGTGATAAGCCCGTGTTCTTCCGGTCTCGCGGATCTTGCAAGGCTTTCGGGTTTGGGGTTTAGGAATCCTACAAAAAAACACCTAAGCCTGAATTATAAACCCCTTCGCATTCAACACGAGCGCTCGGGATGTAATGAACAGCCATAACTTCTGTCGATCCGGAGGAGCACGCCCTGCAACCCGGTAGTTCACCTTGTCCGTAGTCGGTGTGACGCGCTATGCGCACCGCCGACCAAAGCATCGATGCTTGGCGTGACGTCGAGGTATTTTGGGCTTACTGGGTGCGGCACGGCATGCTGTGGTCGATCCGAAGTATCACGGAGACCACACCCACTCTCTGCAATCCGCTACCCCCAAACCCGACGGCCTGAGCCGTAAGGCCCTAAGAGCAACTTTCGGAGGGCTAACAAAAAGGGGACAGGCAGGCTAGTGGCTAGTAGGGTTTGGGGTCTAGGGTTTGGGGTTTTGGGTTTTGGGTTTAGGTTGAGTCGCGCTTGTATGTTAACACTGGTACGTGATTAGGTTTGTGAACGAAAGGATGTGGAAAGGATTGTTGCGCAAAGGCTGATTAAACAGTCAAAGGCAGGGATTTACAGGATATGCTCTGAGTAGGAAGGCATCAGGTTCAGGGGTTTGGGGTTTCGGGGGCGGGCTTAGCGACCAGATCTTAAGACATACAATGCTTTCACGTGAACCTGAGTTCATCCAAGTGTCTAGACCCCTAAACCCTGAAACCTTAAACCCTAAACCCTTACACCCCAAACCCCTAAACCCTTAAACCCAAATGCCTAAACCCTTAAACCCCAGAACCCCTAAACCATTCAACCCTAGACCTTTTTTCGAAGCCGAAGCTTCGCCCGCAGGCTCTCAGGACTTTTTGCAAATCAGCTGTAAGCTGGCCTAGATCAAGATGTCGACCTGTCTAAGGGTTCCAGGGACCTAATAATCATGTACTTGGGTTACGGATAGTAGTTTTGTAGGTTAGTATTCAGAAGCATATATGATTATTAGGTACTTGGACCCTGCGGGTTTGTTAGCAAAACTCTAGGATCCTAGCATTCAGGTCCTTATAAAGAACGGCAGTTAAACAATTAGGGGTCTACCTTTCACATAATATACAACATCCCAAGGCTCTCCCACGGTGCCTAGTTTGAGAATCACTTGAACTGGAAGCCCCGAGCCCTAGATCCAACCTCGAGGGCCCAAGTTGGGTTTAGGGAGGGCTGCTTAGGGCTTAGGGTCTATAGGGTTTTTGGCTGAGGGTTCAGAGCTTATAGGGTTTAGGGTTCAGGGTTTATAGGGCTTAAGGGTTTAGAGTTTGTATTTTGGCCGCGAGAAGATTCCTATCTGACGGCTTTAGCTGCTAGAGGTTTCTACCGCTTGGGCACTTGGACCCGCAAGGTAACCGTAAATCCCGAAATTTTAGGGGCCTGTGAGGCAGAGAAGAACGATGAGCAGGGCAGTCGCAGCTGGTGGGGTAGCCACCTCAGCAGATGACGAGGGTAGCCTGGGATTTAGGCGGCAAGCACTATAAGGGCGTACCTAAACCCTCAACCCTCAACCCCTAACCCCGAACCCCCGGAGCGCCTAAACCCCTGGGCCCTAAGCCGTAAACCTCCGGAGCTTTGCAACGCGGAGAACCTGACTCCTGAGTGCAGTCTTAAAGGATCGTTTAGGGGATCCTTGCATGAACACTCAATAAGCCCTTACAGATTCCATTACAATTCCCTTAACAGAACCCTTAAAGAAGGAGCATTGAGAGGAGCCTGGTAAAGCACAAATCGAGGTGCCGCATTTGCAAGCCCAAAGCCATGAGCATTAGGGTATGTTGCCTTCTCGTCTATGTTCGGGCTGTATGATCACGAGCAATACGAAAAGGCAGTTTACAGTGTGAGTTGAGCTTGAGATTCACACGAAAGCCCAGTGAAGAACGCATCTCGATCGATCTCTATTTGCTTCGACTATAATTCCCAGGCTGAGGAATCTAAGATATGAGGTTAGTTTAGGAATTAGGGCTATAGGGGTTTGCTCCTTAGGTCTGAACTCTCGGTTTTGGGAAGGTTAGGGTTCAGGGTTAAGGTCTGGGGTTTAGGGTTAAGGGTTTAGGGTTTAGGGTTTAAGGTTTCGGGGGCCGTAGAAGCTGTAGATTGGAATCTCCCTAGCCGACTCCGGCCTACTTCTCCAACCAGACAAGCCGTGACAGAATGTCAGGGCAACTCTTACTATGATTTTCCCAGCATGACCCAAGATATTCATCACATCCCATTATGATTCCTGGGCTCTTAGCTGCTACTACTACTGCTACTACGACTGACACTGCTACAAATGCTCGTGCTCCAACGACGACTGCTCCCGACAATTTCAACTGCTGCAACGACCCGGCCCTAAACCCAAAACCCTAATCCCTAAGCCCTAAACCCCAAACCCTAAACCCAAACCTCCCAACCCAAAACCCTAAACCCCAAACCCTAAGCCCACAACCCTGAGTCATAAGCACTAAAGCTAAACCCTAAACCCTAAACAGTAAACCCAAAGCCCAAAGCCCTAAGCCCTAAACCGCAAGTCTTGGGTTCCCAGCCATGGCCGTCTTGTTTTCAGTGGAGGAGGGCAGCGCATTCAGCGCCTCCAACACTGTCGGCAAGACCTGGTGTGCTCAGGGGCTGTGGGACTGAAACCCCTAAACCCCAAAGTCTAAACCCTAAACCCTGAAATTTTAAACCCTAAGCCCTAAACTTTTTTTACCCTACACCCTATACTTGATGTAAGCTTTAGGATCCGGGGTTTAGGGTTGGGGGCCTAAGGATACGAGCTTCGGCTTTGGAGCTTGGTCAGTAATGCTTCACAAAGTTAGGGTTCAGGGTTTAGGGTTTAGGGTAAAGTTAGGGTTTAGGGTTTAGTGCAAAGTCAGGTCTGCTTTAATCTGGGGAGCCTACCCTACCGGATCAAAGCAGAATATCAAGACATGTGCTAAACAAGAACAACTGCAAATCCTGTGCCCGCTGTAGGCCACACTGTCATGGATAATGTATCTGCCTCTCTCTCTATATATTTCTCTATATATATATGTATGTATGTATGTATGTATGTATGTATGTATGTATGTATGTATGTATATATATATATATGCACACCACAAATCCTAAATCCTTAATCTTAAGTCCCAAATCCCAAGCCCTGAATCTAGTTTGTAAGGCTGTGAGCAATGTCACGACATCACCAGCCGTGCGGGCTCCAATCTAAATGCCCACATCCCTTAAACGGCTTGAGGGTTGGGGGCTTAGGGCTCGATGCCTAGACCCGTCGGGTTTAGGGGATGGTTTAAAAGTTAAGGGGTTGAGGATTTAGGGTTTAGGGTTGGCCGCCCACCACTCAGCTTTGCTTCGGTCGGTTATAGTCGCTAAGCGCTACCGGTTGAGCCCCTCTGAACCGCGAAACCACTATATTATATTACGCAAGAACGACCATGACTCCCCATTGGTTTAAAAGACTCCTAAAACCGCGATGATAAGTCCGTACCTGTAAACTATCAACGCTTGGGTTATTGCTCATTCTGGCCCTGGCCTTCTCTGGATTGCTGGAGCAGTACTTGCGAAACTTCGGCACCCGCACGACCAGGGCGTAGAGCAGGAGGGGATACCCGGGCTCCTCACAAGTCGTAAAGCAGCAATAATAGTATTGGTGGCCCTACTGCGAACGCCGGCGACAGCAACCACCACCACAACAAAACACACCAGCCTCAGTCTCAACACCAACGACGACAACACCGACACCGACAACACCACAGCCACTACAGCCAGCACAACCACTGCGACCACGGCCACCTCCAACAAGAGCAACAAAACCAGCAAATACTACCATCAAACACAGTAGTAGCAGTAGGAACAGTAGTAGATGTAGAAGTAGACGTAGAGGCAGATGCAAAAGGGAGAAGCAGGAGTAGTACTAGTAGTCGTCGTCGTCGTCGTCGTCGTCGTCGTAGTACTAGTACTAGTAGTAGTAGTAGTAGTAGCAGCAGCAGCAGTAGTAGTAGTAGTAGTAGTAGTACTAGTACTAGTAGTAGT